ACACACACACACGTGTTTTCATTATATACAAGGACACATGACAGAAATAGGACAAATGTTTAGGTGGCTTTCCAAAGGTTCTTAGGACAATAGAGATATTTGGTTTACAGGTATTTTGGGGCTTCTAGAACACTCTAGTATGCTCAGAAAAATTAGGACATGAAAGGTGTCCTCATATTTCTACGCGTCCTGATATTGAAGGTGTGTATTCACAAAATTGTCCTGATATATCATGAAAACAAACACACACACACACACACACACACACACACGCACATACACACACAACTGAAAAAGCTGCTTTTAACAACAGTTTAAGGTATAGTGTTAGAGTGATCGCAGGTTGTTTTTCGCTGTTTGATGAACAAACGCCCCCTGATGCTGACACAAAAGAATCTGTGGGGTGCTTCTCTTAAATTTGCATCAGATAACACATATGCAAAACACAAGGAGGGCACTGGAAAAGAAATGGTATTTAAAAAGCCCTTAAGCCTTGAGAGAAAGACAACAATAAAGAACAGAAAGAGCTCAGTCTAATGTTCAATTAAATGCAAATGTTGCTCTATGCATTATTCAGGTAATGAAAGCCTCCTTTTCTCGCTGTTGTAGCGGCTCAGAAAGTAATTTGACAGGAAACGGCGCAACACAGACGCTTAAACACTTTTGGAGGAGGGAAATATTTACAAAGAACCTTCTTCAGATAGGAACAAATTAAGAGATATTGAAAATAAACTAATACATCTAATATGAATAGTGTCTAGAACTAGAATAGAACTCAATGCAGCACACAAGGAAAACATTTGATGTAAAATAAAGTTTATTTAAAGTTGAAAACAAACTGGACTCATCACAAGTGAATAATTACAAGGCCAATGTCAAATATTCCTTTTTTAAGGCAAAATCTAACAAACAGCTCAACTCCAGAACAAAGTCCTTATACCATTTATACCATTGGGACATTTTCCACTAAGGGGTCCATCCACTCCACAGTACTGGGACAGCTTATGTGTATGTATTTATAAAAGATCCAGTGAAACATTCATTCCAAAAAGTACCTTCTGACTGAGAAGTACCTTCTAAGTGCTTGTTGATCACTTCACTCGTCTTTTCTTATCTTACTCAGGACACTGTTGGTCTGATCACAATAAATATCTGTCTTTATGTTTATGCATTTAGCAGATGTTTTTATCCAAAGAGACTTAAAAAGTGGACACATTACAGTTATCACCAATCTGACAATGAACTCTTGAGAGGAAAAACCCTAGTCAGAGTCATTGGTGACAGCCAAGAGACTGAGGTAAGTACAGAAGAGTAGTAGAAGGGGTATAGAGTTATGGGTAAGAGTTAGGATAGGAGATGCTGAAGAGGTGGTTCTTTAAGAGTTTCCTGAAGACTGATAGCGATGCCGCTGTTCTTGTAGTGCTTGGTAGCTCCTTCCTCCATCTTGGAACAACAGCTAAAAACAGTCTGATTGTCTTAACATGGTGCAGCTTTGCTAGACCACAACCCACTGAGGACCGGAAGGACTGAGTTGTGAAATAAGCCTCTAGAGGATTCAAGTAGAAGGAAACCGTACCCTTAAGTACTTTCTCATCATCAGAGACTTGAATTTGATACGGGCATCCAGGGGTAACCAGTGAAGCTCAGTGAACAGAAGGGTGACGTGAGACTTTTTGGGCTGATTGAAGACCAGATGCTCTGCAGCGTTCTGGATCATCTGTAACGGTTTTACCGTCCAGGCTGGGAGACCAGTCAAGAGTGCGTTACAATAGTCAAAGCGTGAGATAACCATAGACGGTACTAGGTGCTGGGTAGCATGCTGGGTTAGGTATGGCCGGATCTTTCTTATGTTTAGTAATGTGAAGCGACAAGATGGAGAAACAGAGATAACATGACCAGCTGGTCATCAATCATGATACCCAAGTTTCTTGCTGCCTTTGACGGAGTCAGGGACAGGGATTCAGTCTGGATGTGAATATTGTGGTGTATGGTTGGTTTGGCTGGAAAAACAAGCAGTTAAGTTTTTGAGAGATACAGCTGGAGGTGATGGGCTATCTTCCATTATGATATGTAAAAGAGAGACAGTCTGAGATGCGTGCTGTCGTGTGGTCATCAGGTGGAAATGACAGATAGAGCTGGGTTGTCGTCAACATAACAGTGGTATGATTAACCATGTGATTGAATGATCTGGCCCAGAGTGGTAGTGTATATGGCTTGATTTGATGTCAGGTTCTGTTTTCTCCTTGCTCCATCTAGTCATGATCTTTGTGTGTATATGGAAGAAGAGAAGAGGTCCCAGTACTGAACCTTGAGGAACCCCAAGGTGGTGCACTGCAGGAGTGTGACCAAGCAAGGATACTTTGAATGGTCGACCAGTGACGTACG